GTCCTTTTGTGATTGACTTATTTCACGCAGCATAATGTCCTCCAAGTTCATCCACGTTATGCGGTGTTTTGCAGATTCTACATTATTCTTTAGCACATTACTGAATATTCTGATTAAAGATTCTGTAGAAGAATCTTGATCAAAAGTGGGATAATGCAGAAAATAATTTCAAATTCTCATAGACTCAAGGCTTTCTGGAGACATAGAGACTGGGTGAACCCCTAAACCTACTGCTTTGAGATAATCTTGAAACCTTAAATAACTTAGCTTAACTAGTAAAAAAGGTCTGCCTTGAGCATTATGCCCTTTTAAGAATGATCTGTATGGGATCAAATTGACAACAGCAACTCGAAAGATTGGATAGAAACATTAGGGGACAGTGAGTTTATGCTAATGGAGGGGGGACAACTCAAAGTAAGAATGGTTGCACAACTCAAAGAACTGTCATTGAATTGTACATGTAGAAACTGTTAAATTGGTATATGTTTTGTGTACATTCTCAACAACAACAAAATAAATAAATTTTTTTACAAAGATAAATAATCCAATTAAAAAATGGACAAGAAATCTGAATGTATATTTTTCCAAAATACATATATAAATGGCCAATAAACACATGAAAAATGCACAACATCATTAGTCATTGTTGTTGTTGTTGTTATGTGCCGTCGAGTCGGCCCCAACTCATAGCGACCCCTCCTTGGGTTTCCGAGGCAGTATCACTACGGAAGTAGGATTGCCCAACCTTCCTTCCAAGTCATTAGTCATTAGAGAATCACAAATAAAAACAATGACATATCCCTTCATACTCACTAGGATGACTATAATAAGAAAGACAAACAGTAACAAGTGTTGGCAAGCATGTGCAGAAATTGGAACCAACATACATTGCTGGTGGTAATATAAAATGGTGGGAATGTAAAGTGGTACAAATGTTTTGGAAAATAGTTTGGCATTTCCTCAAGATGTTAAACATAGAGTTACCTACCATTCCTAGGCATATACCCAATTGAACTGAAAATATATATCCACACAAAAACTTTTACATGAATGTTCATAGCGGCATTATTCATAATAGCCAAAAAGGTGGAACAGTGCAGATGTCCATAAACTGATGAACAGATAAATAAGATGTGTTATAAACATAAATGGAAAATTATTCAGCCATAAAAAGGAATCAAGTACTGATACATGCGATAATATGAATGAATCTTGAAAACAGTATGCGAAGTGAAAGAAGTCACACCAAAGCCTACATGTTGTGTGATTCCATTTATATGAAATATCCAGAATAGGCAAATTCATAGAGAATAAAAGTAGATTAGTAGTTGCCAGGGTATAGAGGGAAGTAGGAATAGGGGATTACTACTGATGGATATGGGGTTTCTTTTGTGGGGTAATAAAAATGTTCTAGAATTAGATAATGGTGATGACTGTGAAAAAGGAACCCTGGTGATGCAGTGGTTAAGCATTCAGCTGCTAACTGAAAGGTTGGTGGTTCAAACCCACACAGTGGCTCCACAAGAGAAACAAACACCTGGCAATTTGCTGCCATAAAGATTACAGCCTAGGAGATCTTATGAGGAGGTTCTACTCTATCCTTTACGGACACTGTGAGTCAGAATTGACTGGATGGCATACAACAACAATAACGATTGTACAATCTTATGAATACTAAAACCCACTGAATTGTACATTTTTAAAGGGTAGTATCTGGTGGCACAGTACCTAAAGCATTTGACTGCTAACCAGAAGGCTGGTGGTTCAATCCACCAGCCACTCCTCGGAAGGAAGATTGGGCAATCTACTTCCATAGTGATACTGCCTCGGAAACCCAAGGAGGGGTCAGCTATGAGTTGAATCCACTTGACATCAGTGAGTTTGGGTTTTTTTGTTTATGTGAATGATGTCACAATTTTTTAAAAGTTTTAAAAACATATATTAAAAAACACAGTTAGTAAAAACATGGATACAGGGAAAATGAAAGTAAAAAGGTGGAAAAAGTCACCAGGCAGATAATAATCTTGAATGTGACCCCATCTATACCCATAGTTTGGTGAGGTTGGATAAACTCAGTTACAGGCTCCAATATAATTTTCCTTATCTGAAATGATAAATATAATGCTAAAATGTTAAGTTTACCTTGCAAAAAAAGAGAAAAATACCCATAATCTTATCATTTACCAGAACAATTATTTCCTTTGTTCCATGTTTCTACCACTGGTGGTGACTGGTTTGTAAATGTGACTGAAGTAATGCACTGCACACATAGATCCTGTTGTTAGTTGATGTCAAGTTGATTCTGACCTTATGGTGACCCCATGTGTGTCAGAGTAGACTTGTGCTACATAGGGTTTTCAATGGCTGATCCAACCTACCTGTATATGGGGATAGGTACCTTTGGGAGTGGGATTGGTAGACGGAGGATAGGACTTGGACTTTTATGTTACACATTCCTTTATTGTTTAAATCCTTTGCAATAAGCTTGGGTGACTTCTATAATTAAGTATTTAAATAAATAAAGGAGCAGAAGCAGGGAAGAAGGAAGGGAGGGAGAAGATAAGGAAAGAAAACCATTGCCCCAATTCGATTTTTAAAGAGCATGGAGGTCAAGAGCCAGGGAAAACAACTAACCAATGTGTTCCCTCATACCTTTTGTAGTACAGACCTATAAATAAAATAATATAGATATGTTTGGGATTTAATTTTGCTAAGTAAAAAGGGAAATGGCCAACTGCAAACTATCCCAGCCCAACTTACTGATCAATTTTGGATTCTGTAGTATGTCCAGCTTTGTCTCTCAATTTAATTGTAATAGATCCCCTTCTAGCATTCTTGTTCCAAGTTATAATATCCACAAAATAATGATAAACTGCAAAATAGGGAGAAAACATAGTAAGAGAAAGGGACTGCCAGCTACTCCCTGGAAGTCGGGAGCAGGACTCCTAAAAACTCAACTTCCCTAATAATCAAGCCTCTTTTCCTCTTCCTCTCTAGTTTCTGCACAAAGAACCAGGGCAGAATTTTCTAACTCCCTTGACTCCTCTTTGGTAAAGATGTGATGAATGACAGCAGAGTTCAGTGGTATCCAGTTGCCATGTTCTGGCATCACCATTGCATCAGTATTTTCACATTATTAACTGAGGTCTCTGAGTCTGAATGATGCATGTCAATTTCTGCTCATTTTAGAATAACCAACTAGGTGGCTACGTGGAGGCTCTCCATGGCCAACAAGAGCCTCCACAGTTTCTTTGTAATCTCCCTCATTCCTCCCGTCATGCTGTGCCACCTATACTTCTGCACTGCCAAGCTCTGTCTTGCTCCTGGGCCTTCTTCCTTGCCTGGAACATTCTTATTCCACCCCCTCTGCCAACTCATCTTTCCATTTAATGTCACTACCTCCAGGAGGCCTGCCCTGACCCTCACACTAAGTCAGGGCTCTCTTCCTGGAAGTCCAATCAGGCTCTGAGTTTCTACCATCCCTACTCAGCACACTCTTCTGTATTTACCAAATTCAAGAGTTATCACAAAAAAAGTAGTAAATATGTTGGTTGCTGTTGTTCTGACTCATAGTAACCCTACGTACAACAGAATGAAATCCTGCCCAGTCCTGTGCCATCCTCACAATTGTTTGAAACCATTGTTGCAGCCACTGTGTCAATCCATCTCACTGAGGTACAGCCATACAAATATTGCCTGAATAATGTCTTGTGGGTTTTTGTTTTTTTTTTTTTAAAGATAAAACTAACTATACTGCAACAATAACTAGGAAGGGGAGATAATCTTAGCACCAACACCTTGTGGGCACCCAGTAAATTCCTAGTGAATGAATGATATGTTCCGAGAGCTATTCTTTCTCCCTACTCTTTGCTCCCTAAAGTCAAGGATGTTTTGGGAAGATGGGGAACCCATTATCGTAGTCTTATTCTCTATTATGTGGCTAGGCTTTCAGGGAATGGGAAAGAGGCCCATGGAAATGACATTCCCATGAAGAAATAAGGGCAGCCCAAGGTGGTGTTGTCATTTGTCAGTCCATTATTGCTCAAGGGCTTGCCCCATGCAGACCAGCCAGATGCCAAAATTCTGAACTGTTACATGTTACACATGGCTGCAAAAGAGGAAAGAAAGCCTGTAACCTGTAACCTCCTCTATAAGGGTTGCTCTGAAGAAAAGTGAAAAGAAAGATCAGATTGTAGACATACATCTGCCCAGGCAAATTCTTAGGCTTCCCAGGGTATCTAACACCCTGCTGTACCCACTTAGCTCCCATTTGGAATACCCAACCTCTCGATGTCTGTTGAAGGTCATGGTTGCTGTGGAGCTGCAGTTGATCCACAGATGAAGCTAACACCTGATTTTTCCTAATTCCAATCTCACGTCTCTTAAGATCAAGCAATGTTCTGGAAGAACTTTGTGATTATGGTGGCCATCCAGAGAAGTTAACAAGTTTGACTTACTGGGATTTTAATCCTTAAAACCCAGGAGATAAGCATTATTATCCTCAGTTTACCAATTAGGACACTGATCCTCAGGTTAAATGACTTGACCAAGGTTACAGAGCTAGTATGTGATAGAATCAGGATTTAACCCAGGGCCATCTGGCTCCAAAGCCCATGGTTCACCATGGCCCTCATTTGCCAAGAAGTAGCCAGGAAGTCGAGACTCAGCCATCCCAAAGTAAAAGGATAGGACAAAAGCAAACAACCACATTCACCACTCACTGCAGTATGGTTTCTCCTCAGCTGTGTCAAAGAATGCTTTAGTTGTAGGAGGGTCTTTGTCTCTTGAATAGTGTCTCCAATTATCAGCATAATAGCCTATAAAACAAATGTGAAAAGTATGATGTTAACATGTATTATGTAAATGTAAACACAACTGAGGAAGTAGCAAGAATAGTGAGTTTGAGTGCAACCACTACCACCATGGAGACCACTGGCTCTGACTCCCTTGCCAACCCTTTCGCATGGTAAAGATCAACAGGACCACCAGAGCAGGTGTCTCTACAGCACCCGCCACATCCTGCTGGCTGATCTACCCTGAGAGCTGGTGCTGCCAAAGGCCCCTACAATGGCAATTTCTCCCATGTAATAACATTACATTACTCAGCACTGGCTTTCAGTTGCAGGGGTGGGGAAGCGAGGGGTGGCACACAACCACTGCTAAAAATAGTAGTGATGTTTTCCAGCAATACATTCATTTAAAAAATTAAAAAATTCAGCTTTGTACCTAAAACAGCATCATTCTTGACGCGCTTTCCTGAAGAGCTACAATTGGGTCCCTGAATTGTACAGATCCTGATCTTGCTATGTACTCTGTCTCCAAGCAGGTTAATGTCCTCTTTCATAGCTAGGCAGCAGGAAATAAGGTTGAGTGCAGTCCAGTGGGACTGCTTGCTCTTCTCTGTTCTCACCCCCAGGGAATGGCCGTCAGGCTCTGATTTAATGATCTGGGTGAGGTCCACGCACCAGTATTAGATAATTAGATAATTATCAGTATTAGATAATTAGATAATTCTGTTGTGCAATCAGGTTCAAGAAACACTTCTCCATAGCATGCCCTGATGTTAACTTGGGTTTTTCCTTTTGGAAACAACTGGAAAGTTCTCATGATTATCCATTTTTCAAAGTCCTTACCGTCTCGAATGTTATGTTGACCCTTAGCAGCCATCCAAGCAGCCTCCACAGTATCTATTACCCACCTCACTCCCACATAGGTGGGCAAGAGCCAGAGTATGGAAGAAAGGCACTTACAGTCATGGCTTGCTGAAAGGGATCACTCTGCAAGGCCCATTTGCCAGAAAGGTCACTGGGCTCACTATGGACTCACAGCAGAGAAATTGTGTCATGGAGAACATGTTCCTGCCCCCATGGGAGAAGGCTGTGTAAGGTGTCATGCCCTGGCTCAGCTTGGAAACTTTTCTGGAACCTTCTTTTTTAATACTAGAATAGAGTATCTGTGGAGGTTGCACTACTTTCTGGATGCTTTTTAACCACGTTATAATTAGGACACTCCAGAATAGTTCAGAAAACAAACTGGCCAGAAAAAGCTGATGGAATAGATTTTTCTAAAAGACAAAATTTCCAGGCTGCTTTTTAGATAGTAAAATTGGTGCTGAGATTCCTACCACCAATTAGATCTTGGTTAAAGAGAGGGGAAATTTCTGGCTGGGCTTACCCACAAGGGGACAGGGCCGCTTTTGTGGTGTGCCACAGCTGACACACTTGCCATTCCTATAATCCTGGTAGGAATCACAGGGGTATGTGATGATGGTACAGTTCTCTCTCAGGGAAGAAAGGTACAGGTACACAGATCTCTGGTGGTCACATTTAAAATACTGCATTCCTTGGATGTAAAAGGAAAGGTTAAAGAGTAGAAGCATTTAATAATATTACATCATGTATTTTATACACATATACAACTTATCTTATGTTTATTAAGTGCTAGACACTGCTTCAAGTGCTAACAACCTCAATGTTCTTGATTCCATTTAATATCTCTAAAAATCCAGAGCTAAGGATTTATAAAGGAGCTCTGGTGCCAGGCACTCCAGGGAAGAAAGATGAGGCAGTCTCCTTCCATGAAGATTTACAGCCTTGGAAACCTATTGAGGTTCTCTATGAGTAGGAATCAACTTGATAGCAGAGAGTTTGTTTTTTGCTTTTGGAAGGATTCATGAGGAGCCTGGTGGTGCAATGGTTAAGCACTTGGCTGCTAACCCAAAGATCGGTGATTAGAACTTATCAGCCTCTCCATGGGGGAGAAAAGATGTGGCAGTCTGCTGAAAGATTAAAAAAAAAAAAAAAAAAATCCATTGTCCTCCAGTTGATTCCAACTTAAAGCAAACTCTATAGGGCAGAGAAGAACTTCCTCATAGGGTCCCAAGGCTGTAATCTTCACTGAAGCAGACTGTCACATCTTTCTCCCATGGAGCAGCTGGTGGGTTTGCACTGCACACCTTTTGGTTAGCAGCTAAGCACTTAACTACTGCACAGCCAGAGCTCCTCTCTGTAAAGATTACAACCTAGGAAACCCTTTGGGGGCAGTCTACTCTGTCAAATAGGGTAGCTATGAACTGGAATCAGCTTGATGGCAATGGGTTTGATTTGTAGATTTTTAAGCACTCACACTGGCATCTGGCAAGAGAAAAGATTAAATCAGATTAAGATTGTGGCAAGAACGAATGTGCTTTAATTAACGGCCTTGGGGTCTGGTTTAGCAGGCGAGGCATCTTTCGTTGCCACCTAGTGGCTGATCATAGGTCATCTACATCCTAACTGTGCTTCTTAAAATCCAGAGTTCAGATTTGTGATTCAGTGCATCCGAGGAGGCTCAGGAATCAGCATTTTAACAAATGCCCACCTTATCCCAACCCACCATGTGATCCTGAAGTATATAAAGATTTTAAAGCCGCTGGTGCAATTTTGCAAGGCTAACTTCACACACTGTGTCTGCTTGTCAGGTTGGCAGCCACCTGCAGTGCCCTGAGCCAAATGCTCAACTTTCCCTGGGGTATGGATGAACAGGAGGGAATACAGAACCCTTTATCACAATTTAAAAAAAAAACAAACACAATCATTAATTAATACCTCATTTCTCTCTTTATTATGCTTTTAAAGCAATTTATTACTTAGAGGGAGAAACACAAATAACTATTCTCAATCATGTACCATCACTAATCCTCTGGGAAGGAAGACTACATGAGAAAAGAGAGTTGCCTGGGCTGCAAATTCTTGACTTGACCTCTGGGATAAGCAGGTACCACATCCTGCTACTGGACAGTAGCTGCAAGAAAGCGTGCAACTGTGAGAATGAGGACCCTCTAAATGAGTGTGGACTGTTTGAAGAAGTTCAGTGCATATGTGGTCTGAATTTGTGTCATATCTGCCTCCTCATTTTCAGGGGGATATTTGAAATCAGAGAAATAGATAAAATATTTAAGAAAGAAGAGAGTGTAAAGAAAAACCCAGAAGACCTGTGACTCAGCTGAGGGGGTAGTTCCCTTAGAGAGCCAAAGAAGGGGGGTGGGGGTAGTCACTGAAAGATTGGTCAGAGAAGATCACCTGATGTCAGAAGATAAGGAAGGGAAGAATTTCAAGAAGGAGGGCAGCCTTGATCAAACCTGAAGTGGGAGCCTTCTGGAAGACTGAGGTTGAGGAAAAACCCTGGGCTCAGCCATTTAGTGATGAGGAGACGCTGGTGAACTGGAAGAAATTCCTTCAGAAAAATGGTGAGTAGAAACCAGGGAAGCCAGGGTGAGCATGATGGACAATGAGGAGATGGAGCCACAAATAAAGACATTCTTTGGATGAGGTTGTCAGTGTTAGGAACAGACAAATTCAATAGTAATCAGAGATTCCCCACAAATTTTCAACTGAAGCCAAGCACATTTAAGGCAGGGAAATGAGTCAGTGAAGAGGAAAGGCATCAGGGAAAGAAGACATCAGGAAGTACTTGGCAGAGGAAGATCTTGAAGGAGGACGAGCAGAGGAGGTTGATTTGAAGAAGGATGGGGATGTCTCCAGGCTGGTCTAGCAGGGAAAAATGGATATAGAAACCGACCTTGTGAACTAATATTTTACCGGTTGCCGTCAAGTGACCTCGTGTGTGTCAGAGTAGAACTGTGCTCCACAGGGTTTTCAACAGCTGAGTTTTCACCACGGCTTTCTTCTGAGTTGCCTCTCAAAAGCAAAACCAAACTAACTGCCATTGAGTCAATTCCAACTTATAGCGACCCCCATTGGATTTCTAAGGCTGTAAATCTTTATGTGAGGAGACTTTCTTCCACGTGACTCATCTTTCTTCCACGGAGCAGCTGGAGGGTTTAAACCACTGAGCTTTTGGTTAGCAGCCAAATGCCTTAACAACTACACCACAGAGCTCCTTGAGTTGCCTCTGGGTAGACTCAAACTTCCAACTTTCCGGTTAGCAGTTGAGCATATTAAATATTTGCACTAGTGAGGGACTCCTAAACTAAGATGTTGTTGGTGTTATCATGTGCCGTCGAGTCGGACAAATTGGCTCCCTCTGGTGGAATCTTGCTCTTAGTACAAAAGTCAAATCCAGCTCACCCCTGAGGGTGAGGGTTTGTAGGTGGGAAGATATCTGGAACAGAATAGTGACAACAGGGAGTCTGGAAGAAATGAACAAAAGGGTTTTCTGGCATCAGGGAGGGCCAAGGAGAAGTTAGTTTGCCTGGACCTTGTACTCAATCAACAAAGCTCCATGACTTCTCCAGCAATGCTCCCAAGCAAAGGTGGAGCTGTCATGGCACAGACCTAAGAGTCTGGGAAAACAGGGAATTCATGACAGCAGCCAAGTGATAAACACATTGCAGGGACTCTGTTTCCACTAGAAGGATGAAGTGAGAGGAGATGAACGATAGGAGATAGCACTGGAAGCTATAGGCAAAAAGGAGACAAACATAAGCCTCAAGTTAATTCTTAGTAGGTACCATGTGATGTGCTAGTGAGACAAGAGGCTGAGAACACATGGAGGTGATTATCAAGAGTCGGAAATGAGAAGGAATATCAGAGGGGTTCTCAGAAGGTTGGTGGGTCAGATGTTGATGTCATTCACAAAATCTCTGAGTCGCAAAGATGGGCAATCAATGGAGAAAAGATCTGAAGAGGAAAGGGGGAAAAAACGGAGCTGTGATTGTGAATTGGTAGTTTGGAGAGGCACTGGGCGCTGGAATCTGACCACTTTCCCTCTTCCTCCACAGTCCACTTGTGCCCATAAAAGAGATGAGAAAATGACAAAGAGGAATAAACTGGGACAAGAGAGGAGAAGCATGAGGCTGACATGGAGTAAAACCTGATCAGCAAACTTTTGCTTTATTGTTCCTGGAACTATTGCTTGCAGAAAGTATGAAGTTAATACAAGAGAGGGATGTCCATTATAAGCAAAGCATGTTATCTTTGGCTGCTCCTGGATGTACTTACACTATTTCACATGGGACAGGATTTGAACACTCCCCCTCTATGGTATAATATGGTTGGCCCTACTTATGCTATTTCAGCTCAATCATTTTCAAATCTATGCATCATTCCATATATAGCTACCCTTTTGTAACAAGATCATCTTTTTATAGAAGTACGTCCATAATTGTTTAACTTTCTTTAGCAGTGGGAAATGTAGAATCTGGAATGTTCATGGAAGGGCTTTTAACTGTCCCAACCCGCCCACTTTTTATTTTGTTTGTTTGTTTTATAAACTAATATATGCTCATTTGGAAAATTCAAAGTAATAGGAAATAATGATGCAAAAATTACCTAGAAGCCAAATATTTATGGATCACCACTAATAATTACTTGGAGCATTTACTTTCTAAACTTATACATGTATATTTAAAAAAATTGGAATCATACTATATCGTTTTGCATCTTTTCCACTTAACATCATATTATAAGCATTTTCATTAATCTCTGAAAACATGATCTTAATCATTCTATTCTTTTATGTGTGGGTACACCATAGTTCATTTTATAACTTTCCTATTGTTGTACATAGATTATTTGTAAAACTATAACTATTATAAATAATGCTGTGTCAAACATCTCTGCATACTAGTTCTTGTCCACATTTTCTACTTTTTCTCTAAGAGAGTCCCAGATGTGGAATTTCCAGACCAAAGATATATTTTTTCAAAAGATATAAGTAATCCATAGTAGCACTGAATTATATAGTTATGGTTTTAAAAAGTTAAATATTTGAGTGATAATGTTTTATTTATATTTTCTATTTATAGCACTCTGTCATATCAGGAAATTTTCTTATTTATTAAAAAAAAAAGAGCTACTCTATGTAGAATAGTATCAGATTTTTAAAATATGCTTTTTAAAACAACTACTTTGCAAAATAGAAAGTATCTGCACTTACCTCCAAATATTGTTTTGGGGCAACCAGGCTGATCCAATCCTCCATTTGGGTAGAAGTCTATGTTTCCTAATGGCTCCTTATAGCCCAGTGCTAAAAGAGAATACATTATGCTTTTAGACTGCTTTGAATTTTCCATATCTCATAGCTATTTGCCTACAGGATATGGGCAGAGATTGTATTATTATTGTTCCTGTTGTTGTGGCTGTTGTTAGGCACCAACGAGTCAGCTCTGACTCATAGTGACCCTATGTAAAACAGAATGAAACACTGCCCAGTCCGGTGCCATCCTCACAATCCTTGATATGCTTTAAGCCATCATTGATGTTTCACTGCTATTCATTTCATAAAATTTCCCAGTAATACATCAGACAATGTTTCACTGCTGCTCATAAAGTCTTCAGTTGCCAATTTTTTCAGAAGCGGATGGCCCCATCCTTCCTAGTCTGTCTTAATCTTGGAAGTTCTACTGAAACCTGTCCACCATGGGTGAACCTGCTGGTATTTAAAATACCAGTGGCATAGCTTCCAGCATCACAGCAACACACAAGCCACTGTTGTTGTTGTTAAGTGGCATCAAGTTGTTTCTGAGTCATAGCGACCCCACGCACAGCAGAACGAAACACTGCCTGATCCCGCGCCAGCTCCACGATCCCTGCTATACTTGAGCCCATCATCGCCAGCCACCATGTCAATCCATCTCATTGAAGGCCTTCCCCTCTTTTGTTGACCCTCCACCCTACCAAGCATGACATCCTTCTCCAAGGAATGGTCCCTTCTGACAACATGACCAAAAGAGGTGAGACGAAGTCTGGCCATTCTCGCTTCCAAGGAGCATCTCGGCTGCACTTCCTCCAGAACAGATCTGTTAGTTCTTTTAGCAGTCCATGGTACTTTCAGCATTCTTTGCCAGCACCACAACTCAAAAGCATCAACTCTTTTACAGTATGACAAATTGACAGACGAGTGGTGGACTGTTCCTATTATATCTATTTAAATATCTTGCCCAAATGTGCCTTGCTAGTTAGCAGCTATGAAGCAAAGGTTTCTAATTAGGAGAAAAAAACCTGATAATGGAATTTATTTCCAATATTTCCAAATACTTGAAAGGAATTTTGGTCACTCATTCAATGCAAGGCTGATAAAATGACATGTTTCTTTGTATTTGGTTGGATTTCTTCCTAAACTTCTAATTGCATTTGAGTAAGTCTTTAATGAATAAGAAATGGGGAAAATGAATTTTTACTTAAATTCAAACTACTTAATAGGAAAAATTTTTAAAATTTGGGATCCATGATGGAAATGATTGGAAAAAGGTCTAGAAAATGCACCTTAACAAAGTACACCAAAAAACAAATTCACTGCCATTGAGTTAATTTGACTCAGAATGACCCCTTGGGTTTCCAAGGCAGTAAATCATTATGGAAGCAGACTGCTTCATCTTGCTTCAGTGGAGCAACTGATGAATTTAAACCACTGACCTTTCGGTTAGCAAATGCCTTAACCACTATACCACCAGAACTCTAACAAAGTATAGATATATTTAATGACTCCTTATTTTCTTTAACAATGCAATGCCAACATAATCAGCTAAATGCTTGATTTAAAAAGATTATTTATACACACACATAAAAATGTATGTGTATGTGTTTGATCATGGTAATAATAGCTATTATATATTGAGAACCCACATGTCTATGGGCATGATACTAGGTTCTTCACATAACTTACTTCTAATTCTCACAACATCTGCAAAGTAGCCACTAATAAATTCGGATGAAGTAACTTATAGATGAAGATATTGAGTGAAGAAGAGTGAAGGAACTAACATGACACCAATAAAAAGAGCAAAACCTGGGGACTGGAGTTCCCGTCTTATGGATCACAACAGAACACTGTCAATAAAGTGCTGAAGATGAGCCCCTCAGGTTGAAAGCACTGAAAATATGGATTAACATTACAGCCTCAACAATGGGGTCAGACATTTCAAAGATCATGAAGATGGCACAGGACTTGACAATGTTTCATTCTGTTATACATAAGGTCACTGTAAGTTGGAGCCAACTCAACAGCAACTAACAACTGCCTGATTGCAAAGCTTATACTCTTTTTTTTTTTTTTTTAAGTTCACTTTCTCACTATAAACAAAAAATTTGCTCTTTTCTATCAAGCATTAAAATGATATCATGATGCTGCATTTAAGTAATGTAATACTTTATCATCTTACTGTAAGAATGCAGCTGTTTCACAAGGAAACGTTTCTTCTAAGACAAACAGTTGCTAAATACCACACCAGAGTGCTTACCCTAGCTAAGGTGGTTAAGGGTTTTTCAGGTATTTGTAACAGAAAAACAATGTGTGTTCTGCTCTTCCCCTCAGCCCACCCTTGGGACCTACTCCAGCTCTTGTTCCAGACATCTGGTTATATAGATTCATCCTTGAACATTACTCCAATTCCATCACATGTACCCAACCCTAGATATGAAATTCCACATATGGAAATATTTGGACATATGGAGTGCACATTGGCCTGCCCTTCACTGAGAGGTGATCACTTTAAAAATGAGAACAGATGGGGAAAATAACCCCCAACCCAGAGAGAGACCCTGAGTACCTGCGTTAAACCAACTTCCCTTCAACATATCTGTGGATCTGGAGTCTTCCCCAGTAGGAAGAGACAGAATCTGGAGAAGCTTGATCTGCCCCTACATGACGATGCCCCGGGGGAGACTCTTTAAGAGTCTGGGGGGGGTCACTGACCCACAAGTACAGGAATGTTACCGTCGGTGTCGGAATGGATGACGTCAACAAACTGCGCGTCACTGGGATCTAATCTGTCCTGGGGAGGTCTCCCGTTGAATAAAGGGCCCGCAGGGTCGAGACCTGGAAAGAAAACAGAGTCGGCTTGACAGCTCCACGCCGTGAGTCATCTGCAGCGGGGCTTTTCATCTCTCCCCGTAGGTTGGCTCACAGGCTGCAAGCCATCCTCGGTTGGGCAAGCGCTGAGGTTCCCATCCTGCTAAATCAAGATGTTTCCCACCGTCCTGCAGCATTTTCCCACAGTGCAGATGGTTTTCCTGACGGTGACCTTAAGAGCTACTTGTAGACCACATGAGTAGCAGACCTTGTGCTGAGCTTAACAACAGGAGTACATACACGAATAGGGAACGGGAAGTGGAGTGTGTGTATGGAGGGTGGGGGGAATTGGCTCTTCAGGAAAAAAAAAATGCCCCTATGGCAGTTCAAACCCACCAGCCACTTCTCAGAAGGAAGATGGGGCAATCTACTTCTGTAGTGATACTGCCTTGGAAACCCAAGGAGGGGTCGCTATGAGTCGGGTCCGACTGGACGGCACATAACAACAACAACAACATGGTGCATGTAAGAGAAAAAAGCAGACACTATACTTATCTTTATTCCATTTTTGATGATCTAGAAACTTTATTCAACCCTTCTTTCTTGTTATTATTAAAACTCCTTTGTGTCCACATGGTACTGTACAGTTTCAAATTTTACTCATAAATACTACTTATTTGATCCTCATTGCCTCTGAGGAAGGCAGGGTAGCTATTAATATTTCCATTTTACAGATGAATGACTGGTGTCACACAGCCTCACAACACAGCTACCTCTGGCTGTTGAGATCTTGGTTTCACTGCATTGAGTTGGGCAAGTTGGCTGGAAGTGGGCAAACCTCAGTGGTCAGGCCAGGTGTTGAATAGGGAAATGTTAGCTGGGTGTTCCTCAACATCACTATGAAACAGCTGTAAAATAGGTGAACAACTCCCATGATGTTATAAACACAAAATAAAATCTTAACGTAATCACAAAATAAAATCTTAACATAAAAGTAAAAGCCAGGGGCTCAAAACAGTTCTGCTTAGTAGAGACCTACTAGAGTGAAGAAGGTTTGATTGTCACATTAGATGATACCTCCTATCCTCTGGTGTCATATATAAAATTCAAGATATAGCATCTTTGCCACATTTTTCCTGGTTCTAGCTTCATTCTCTCCATGTCTTTTCTCCCAAGGCTTTTTTAGGAGTACAGTTAATGTGCTCAGCTACTAACAGGGTGCCCAGAGGCACCTGGGAAGAAAGGTCTAGTGATCTACTTCTGAAAGGTGAACCAGGAGTTGGTTTAAGGCTCTTTGTTTCCTTGGGACATTTGTTTGTCTGTCTCCTTTCCTTATCTCTTTCTCTCTTTACGGGAGCTCTGGTGGCATGGTGCCTAAGGCATTTGACTGCTAACCAGAGGGCTGGTGGTTCAAACCCACCAGCCACTCTTCAGAAGGAAGGTTGGGCAATCTACTTCTGTAGAGATACTGCCTTGGAAACCCAAGGAGGGGTCACTATGAATTGGATCCGACTCCACAGCAGTGCATTTGGTTTTGGTTTGGTTTCTCTCTTTATTACCCAGCCTTTCTTCCTCTTCTGTGTACTCCCAACTGAAACTGATATGGAAGGAGCTGGATCAGCACCCAGGCTCCCAAGCCCACAGGATATTCTCAACACAATATGAGAAACTCAAACCTTGGAAAGAATTTGCTGTAGAAGCTTCTCTCTCTCCACATAAGACAGCACTACTTCTTACCTAAGAAAATTAATGATGAGCACCCCAGTTTGCATCAGCCTCCAGATCCGTAGCAGATAAATTAATTCACTGTATATAATGTCCAAACCAGAGCAGTTTTGAGAGTGATAAGGGTGCTATAATAATCACACACCAGGACAAAAGGCACAAACCATGACTGTCACAGGCAAATTTGGACATATGATCTCCTGAGTAATTTGATAAACCATAGCAAATTATAAGCTTACAGTGTCAGCCAAAAAAATGACATTTCAACTGCCCTAAAAAGCTGCATACTCTGTGTGGGTGGAGTACATGGGAGTCAGAGAGATGTGGCAAGTGGCATGGAGCCCCCAAATCTAGAAAAATCTAAGTGATTATAGACAGATTACTTTACTTCTCTGAACCTTATCTGTAAAATGGAAGTAAAATGAATACCTACTTCAGAATACTTAGAACAGAATTCCTGAATCTGAATCCAGAAGATTCTAAGATTGTTAAAGAATAGAAACAGAATAGAGAAATGAATCTTGCTTTAAGATCATCAGAAAAGTATCTGGATAGTGTCTTTGGGTTTTTTGCAGCATTAACTGGTTTGAGAATTTGATTGGATGAAACCTCTGGCCCTCTCTACAGGACAGATATCCAGCATTTTATATGCGATTTCAGGGGCCCCTTGACCTATTCCCCGGTCACCATGAATTCTCCAAGGCAGTGCTGTCCAATAGAAATATAATGTGAGTCACACATGTAATTGAACATTCTCTAGCAGCCACTTAAAGAGCATATATATAGCTCTGGTGGCATAGTGCCTAAGACGTTTGACTGCTAACCAGAAAGCTGGTGGTTCAAATCCACCAGCCACTCCTCAGAAAGAAGGCTGGGCAATCTACTTCTGTAGTGATACCACCTTGGAAACCCAAGAAGGGGTCGCTATGAGTCGAACAGACTCAACGGCAGTGAGTTTGGTTTTTTAGGTTGAAAGAAACAGTAAAAATTAATTTTAATAATTTTATTTAACCCAGTATATCCAAAGTATTATCTTTTCAACATGTAATCAATATTTAAAAAGTGAGATACCGTACACTCTTTTTTTGTACTTAGTCCTTGAATTCCAGTGTATATTTTACATTTGCAGAACATCTCAGTCTACACTGGCCACATTTCAAGTGTTCAATAGCCACACGTGGCTGGTGGCACCTGGATTGGGCAGCACAGCTCTGAGGTCATTTCTCAAAGTGTAGTGTTCAGATCATCTGCATCTTCTGGTTAAAACTTGATGGCCAGCCCCCAGTCCCAAAGGTTCTAATTCAGCAAGTAGGCATTGTAACCAGAATCAAGGGTGATTTGTACACACTTAAGTTTGAAAATCAAATATAGTGTATTATCAAGTAGGTACAGAAATAATTTAAAATTCATTCTTTCTCTGTGATATTTTGTTGAAGAAGCTTGTGAGAAGTAAAGCCAGGAGAGGTGCTTAAAGAGAGAGAGGAGAAGGAAGAGCAGAAGAAAGAAAAGGAGTTGAAAGACGTGAAGCAGCCATTAAAAAAACAAAATCCACTGCAATCAAGTCAATTCTTACATATGACAACCCTATAGGACAGAGTAGAACTGTCCCATAGGGTTTCCAAGCTGTAAATCTTTATGGGAACAGACTGCCTCATCTTTCTCCGTTAAGCAGCTAGTGGGTTTGAATCACTGACCTTTTGGTTAGCAGCCAAATGCCTTAACTACTGCACCACCAGAGCTCCTTGAAGCAGCCCTTACGAGCACCTAGTTAACAAATAATACTAGGTAAGTAGCAGAACCATCCATTTCTTGTGAATCGGAAGAGAATTGTGTCCTGGGGTAACAGGGCACATTCCCACCCCACATTCTAGTAAGCCTACCCAGATGAGGAAGTGGGAAGTGAGTGGGGCGAGGACAGGCTCTATTTCCTTAAGCTGCTCTAGGGCACAGCTGAGCTTGACCTTGGGGGTCAGAGAGGATGAGAACACATAGATGTCAGTGGGGAGAGCAAATAGAGGCCATGGACCACTACTGGCTGAGTAAACAGAATTATGTGGGCCCAGAGTGAATGAAAGGCTGGCTTAGGGAATTTCCATGGTCAGAGACCAGGATGCATTGCAGTTCACATTCAAAGTAGTTGTAGCAATAGGTTTGCTGGACTCCTAGGAGCACAATTAGAGTGTAGATAAAATGTGGCTGTGGTGAGTTGGAGCCCACTAACACCGGCACTAGAACCAAGTGTTCTCTGTGCTCATCTCTTCCCAAACTCTATGGTCACTGATGTCAGGTTGGCAGCTGTCAGCCATGTGGGGAGTATTTATACCATGGAAATCAGCAAATGCCACAAATCAAGGCTTTTTTTCTGGGAGAGTTCACCAGCTTTGCAGCATACCACCAGAAAAAGTCCTACCTAAAAGATGAACTTCCAACAGGTAAGGGACATAGGCAAATTCAAGTCATCTGTCCTTTTGTACCCATGAGGGAAAAAGAAACCTTAAAAACATGAGGACACATTCATTTCTAAAGCATAATAATAACAATAATAATAAATTGTATGTTTGAAAAGAACTTTGCTTTCCTAGGAAGGCAGATGAATAAGAAGATAAGGGAAACCTTGGTTTTGGAGCTTCGAGCTCTGGAAGAGAAAGCCTCCCTCAACCCTTCCTTGGTAGCTGTGGAAAGTTACTAAAACACCAGGCAAGAGGACCCAGCAAGGGAGCCTTTGTTTGGGGTTTGACCTGCTGCGTTTCTGAGTGTTTTCATTCCGTTTTGGCTTGCAAGATGATATTCAGAGAGTAAGCCCTAGCCATCAAAATTCCCATCTCATTTCCCTGTCATGGGACTCCAGCTATTTCTGGGGACTGAAGTATATAGGTATGTAGTGAGAGCTAACCTAACCTACATTAAATGAAAAGAGGAAGAGTGGCTGCTTAGGACACAGAGATCAAATCCACAATGGAAAAGAGCTGGTTTTCCAATTTATAAGAAAAATAAAGTCATCACCAATCTTTTCTATGATACACAATTTACAAAGTGCCAGGTCTCTGGGTGGCACAAGTGGTTTGTGCTAGACTACTACTCTCAAGGTGAGTGGTTTCAACCTACACAGCGGCACTGCACAAAGAAAGGCCTGGGGATTTACTTCTGTAAAGATTAAAGCGAAGAAACCCCTATGGAGAAGTTCAATACTGTAACACATGGAATTGCCAGCAGTCAGAACAGACTTGACAGCATGGGCTTGGTTTTGGGGTTTTTTTACACATATTATATAATAATGCAAGGTCAATATTATTCTGCTCTTCTGTTTGCGTAAGAGGACACACACTGCGTAAGAGGACACACTTGGAAGAACTGGTTTGGAAACTGAGCCCTTGGAATGTCTACACAATGCTCTTCCAATGAGCACCCTGCCCAGGCTGGGCCACCTCATGTCCGTTCACAGGAAGCTTACCTGTAATCCTCCCTAGCTTCCCATTGAACATTTCTCCAACAAACCCAGATATGTGGGCTCCTAGACTTACTCCAATCATGTAAATGTCATCAAGAGATCCTCCTTCTACCTGGAATTTCAAGAGATCCATTATTATAAACTGTGAGGAGACAAAGGAGTTGACAACATTTGGAGAAATTTCCTAACCGTTGACTCTGGAGAAACATTTCTAAGAGACTTATATCCATTTCTCACTTGACGGTCATGACACCCCTGCAAAGCATATCATATTCTGGTTTTATAGATGAAGCACTGAGGCTCAGAATTTAAGTAATCTGCCCCAAGGCCAGGCAGTTGGGAGCAGGAAGAGCAGGCTAGGCTCCAAACCCAGTCTTTACATCTCCACCCTGTGCCTTAACCTTTATGCCATAATGTCTTCATTCATTCTTCTGCTAGAAACCAAGCCGAAAAATCTTTGAGATCTTTAAAACTGGGAATGGAGCAACAATACATTTTGATGAGCTCCTTTATCCTCATGCTGGCTCAGTTAATGAAGTCACCGTGGACAGAAGAGAGAGGGTGGGAAGGTGGAGTGGGGTGGACCGCACAGCCCATAGGCTGCTGGGACAGCCTGTCATATGTCATTTTAATATTCAGTTTCCCAGGGCTGTGGCTTAGATAGGAAACTTATATAAAAATCATGCCACTCATAGCCATAGTGGCCACCAGGCCAGACTTTCTCTGAAATGGTCCGGATTTCAAATCACTTTTTTTTTCTTTTTTAATAAAAGGGACAATTCATGAGGTACATCACTAAATAAAATTTACGATTCAGCTTTGTGAATCTTCTGAAAACATAAAATATACACTCAAAAAATCTTTTATCAGACCATGTATTGCAATTTCGGTTTTAGACAATCCGGTCACTAAACTTTTGACATTTCTAGAAACACTTATTGAAGTTGAGGGGGCTCTAAGTGTTGAAACCAGGAAACCCCAATATAGACCCTCCCCTAACTATAAGATACCTTTATGTGAATCAGAAAAATATGCCCCTTTCTCAAGGCACTTCACTGTGTTGTATGTTGGAAAAAATATTACAATAAATATGTAAATCTGTAATATCTGTGACAGCAATGGTGCACCCCCCCCATGGATGCCCTTGTGCAGTATCCAACTTGTACAATCATGCCTAGGAGGCTTACCTCTAATCCTTCCCTCCATCCCCCACCCTCCAGGGTTTATTCAGAGTTGCAAAATGGTCACTCTGCTCACTGCCGATGCCTCTTGGTTTTAAACCTAAAGGTGACAGGGTCAGTTTCAGTTTGGCCCAGAATCATCTAAGAGAATGTCTCTCTTACCAACATCTGGTCAATAAATTCCTTCAAGACTTTTGCTACATTTCTGGTTTTGCTAGAGGCGTGGGTGTATATTACAGTCGTAGCTCCTCTATTCCAATCTACAACAACCACATTCATGTCTTCTACAAAGAGCAAACCTTCTACTAAGTCCCCCATCCAAACTGGAGGAGAGCCTGTTGGCCTGAATCCATGTATAATGAAGGTGGTTTTCTTGGTCACATTCAAGTTCCCAAAAACTGTGGTGTTGATGGCTTGTGCGCAGATTGGGTTTTTCCTTGTGTAGAGCATCAGCTTCACGTTCAGTCCCGTACCAACCACTGCACTGTGAAAGCTCAGTTTGGTGAACACAGGACATGTTTCATCTGTATCTAAAATAAAAATTAAATGGCATCAGGACAGTTCTGTCTTTGCTAGGTATCTGGCAAGACTGTTGTCCTACGTTGGCTTCTTTGATGTTTCTTTTAGCAACAGCTCCAATCCCTGGAGAAGGACATCATGCTTAGAAAAGTAGAGGATTGGTGAAAAAGAGGAAGACCCTCAATGAGATGGATTGACACAGTGGCAGCAACAAAGGGCTCAGATAATCAATGATTATAAGGGTGGTGCAGGACCAAGCAGTGTTTGTTTTGTTGTACAGAGGTCACTATGAGTTGGAACCGACTCAGAGGCACCTAACAATAACAACATAGCACCTAGCAGGAGACTGGGTCCAGTTGCATGAAGTTGCAAAGTCATATCTGATTCTGAGTTTCCATACACATGTTACTTCAGCAGGAAAACTGTTCTTCCTAACCCTACCCTCCTTCAAGTTCTAACTCAAAAGTTACCCCAGTGAAGCCTTTTCCATCCTTCTCAGGCATGAATACTGTTCACCACAGAACTCCTACTAAAAAAGAACACAACCCTTTTATGTACCTCATTGACAACACTCTGAAAACACTTTCAGGGTTGTATTATAGTTACTTACCCCTGGTGTCTATCTTACTAAAGGGAAAAAAAAAAAAACTGCAGCCACCAAGTCAGTTCTGACTCATGGCTATCTCATGTGTTACAGAGTAGGACTGCTCCATAGGGTTTTCTGGGCCGTAATCTTTATGGAAGGAGATCGACAGGCCTTTCTTCCATGGTGCCACTAGATAGGTTCAAATCATCAGCCTTTTGGCATAATCTCCTGTGTATCCCTCACAGTGCCTAGCACATGTTAGAAGACTCTATAAATATCTGTAGCGGGCTGACTCCATATGGTCCAACAGCCTCTTCCCTGTCTAGAGCACCTGCTGGAATGGCTGTGGGGAATGTGATGTGCCCTACCCTGAGCCTTTCTGTACCATCTGAAACTGTTGACCACTGTGACCTTCCTTGCACCCTTTCCTTCTTTGCTCTTAAAGCACCACCTTCAAGCACTCATCCTGTTGAATAGGCTACAAGGATAGCCTTAGAAGACAGGGGGAGGGGTGAAGCATAAGATGAGTCTGGAACATCTTATGATGCCTAAAAGTAAAGGAAATGTTTAAAAAGATGGCACAAAGACACAGGAGGCAGCTTGAAAGGGCCCCATTGGCCAGGTTTGAGACAATTTGACCACCAAAATAATTAAGGATAGTAAATAATTTATAAGGAGCTCTGGTGGCATAGTGGCTAAAGCACTTGACTGCTAACCAGAAGGCTGGTGGTTCAAACCCACCAGCCACTCCTCAGAAGGAAGGTTGGGCAATCCTACTTCCCTAGTGATACTGCCTCGGAAACCCGAGGGGTCACTATGAGTTGGGGCCAACTAGACGGCACATAACAACAACAACAACAACAATAATCTATAGGCCTTTGGGGGGGGGAGGAATCTATGATTCCATAACAGAATAAATAAACAAAGCAGCAAATAGAGAAGAAGGGGAGAACTCTTGCTTACAGTAAGTATAAGGCTAACTGCTGAAAGTCAAGGGAATGCTGGTGTTGAAACTCTTCATTCTGTAGCCATAATAATAAAGATTGGTTAAGCAAGAAGAATCATCAATGGATGGGTTACATCTAGGTGGTGAGTGGATTTTGGTAAGAAGCATAATATTTGCATGGTCTTAAAAAACAAACCCACTGCCATCAAGTTGATTCCGACTCATAACAACCCTTTAGAACAGAGTAGAACTTTCCCATAGGGTTCTCAAGGCTGTAAATCTTTACAGAACAAACTGCCTTATCCTTCTCCTGCAGAGCGGCTAGTGGGTTTGAATCATCGACCTTTTAGTTAGCAACCAAATGCTTTGACCACTGTGCCCCCAGAGCTCCTTATGGTCTTAAATTGTCTCTCAAAAATTTCTCATTGGGGAGTGAATAGTTGAACCTGTGGGCTCGGGACCATAGTTGCAGGGGACATCATGCTCAATTGGCATAACACACTACACAAAACATTGTTCCACCTCCTACTTTGGTGAGTAGCGACTGGGATCTTAAAAGCTTGCAAGCAGCCTTCTAGATGCAACGATGGGTCTCTCCTCGTCCAGAGCAAAGAAGAATGAAGAGAACCAAAGATACATGGAAGCAATTAGTCCAAGCGACTGGTACACCATGTGATTCTCAGCCTACACAACTATGAGACCAGAAGAACTAGATGGTGCCTGGCTACCACTGTCAACCACTCAGAGGGGGATCTATGAAGGAGATCCTGGATAGAGTGGGAGAACAATGTGGAACAAAACTCAAAATCATTTGGGGAAAAAAAAAAAAAAAAGAGGGACCAGGTTTGCTGGTCTGATAGAGCCTGATGGGACTACTGAAACTATGGCCCCTAGCTGCCTTTCAGGTCTGGAATTGAACTGTGGCTTCCAAACAAACAAAAGACAGGCATATGAGGTGAACATTTATACTAGGCAGATATACTCCTTGGAGAGAATAATCATGGGAGAATAGAAGAGCTGTGTTTGCACAGGGGCATAGGCCAGTGAGCAGGAGTGCAGGGAAAGAAGGATGCAGGAAAGAGGTAATTATGGGGAAGAAGTGGGAGGGGAGCTGTTACATTGTGGTAAATTGTAGTCGGTGTCATGAGACAACATGTATGTGAACTACTATATGGAAAGGGAATTTGCTCAGTAAACTTTCACCCAAAATCACAATTAAAAATTAAAAAAAAGTTCTCATTGGTGTCCAGGGAAAAACAGTAACCATACAGTGTAGAACATGGACAACACCTTAACAAGGTGATCACAATTCATATCACCAAGGAGGGAGGGACAGATTGGCACCATGTGCCTCCAGCTGTGATGCCCTGAGAAGAACACAACCTCCCTAAGTATTGTCCTGGTGAGGAATGCAGAACCTGAATCTGACCATGAGGAAACATCAGACAAACAAAATATGAAGAAGGTCTATTAGAAAAAAAGGATTTATAATCATAAAAAGGTCAATGTCACCACTGTCAACCACTTAGAGGGGGACTTATGTAGAAGCCTAGATAGAGTGGAAAAACAATGTGGAACAAAACACAAAATCATTGGGGACACAAAAAAAAGGACCAGGTTTGCTGGTCTGATAGAGCCTGATGGAACCACTGAGACTATGCACCCTAGCTGCCCTTCAGGTTTGGAATTGAACTGTGGCTTCCAGCCAAACAAAAGACAGGCATATGAGCTGAACATTTGCATTAGGTAGATACACTCCTTGGAGAGATCATTATGGGAGAATAGAAGGGCTGTGTATGCACAGGGAGACAGTTGGGGGACAGGAGTACTTGGGAGGGAAGGACACAGGGAAGAAGAAACAATGGGGAGGAAGTGGGAGGGGAGCTGTTGCATTGTGGGAAATTGCAGCAAATGTCATGAGAGAAAGCCTATGTGAGCTGCTGTATGGAGAGTGAATTTGCTCAGTAAACTTCCACCCAAATTACAATAAAATTTAAAAAAAAAAAGGTCAATGTCATAAAAGTTAAGAAAAAATAAAAGATAACCACTGTGGAAATGTTCTAGGTTAAAGGAGACTAAAAAGACAATAAATAAATGCAATAGATTATAAGTTCTAGACTAGCTCCTTTAATGGAATTTTAAAAAAAGCTATAAAAGACATTATTGAACCCATTAACAAAATTGGGATATGGACATGAAACTAGGTAAAATTATTGTATCAATGTTAAATTAGCTGAGTTTGATAATTGTACCATGGTTATGTAAGGGAAAATGCTAATTTCTAGGAAGTATGGCTGAAGGTAAAGGGCCATGATATAATAATATTATCAAATGGTTCAGAAAAAAACTACTTTAGATAGATGAATAGATAGACAGATGAGATAGTAAATGATAAAGCATATGTGGCTAAATGTTAATGGTAGGTGAATCTGTGTAAAGGGTTTGTGGATGTTCTATGTGTTATTTTTATTCTTGTAGGTTTTATGCAAGTTTAAATTATTTCTAGAGAAGTTTAAGTAAAAAGAAGAAAAGGGGCAGGGCCATTAACAGCAATAAACAGAAGGGGTGGGGAGGCTGTGAGTTCTGATAACACAAAATGATAGAAGATAGGAATGCTTAAGACTTCTGCTAGAAAGGGAACAGGCATTTGGAGATAAACTGAAGGTCAAATTGCAAGATAACAGAAGGATGGGAATGAGTCTTTAGGGTTCTCAGGTTTTGAGACACAGTGTATGTTTGCAGTGTTATGTAAAGCCTTGATCAAAAACCATGACTAAATAAAAGTTAAAACTAAACTTCTGATCAACATTGACATCCAAAAACAATAATGTAATAATTGGGAAGAATGTATAATTTTTTTTTTTTTAATTAGGATTTGGGTGAAGATTTACAGATTAAATTCACTTTTCATACAGCAGTTCACATATACTTTGTCTCATGTCATTGACCAAAATTTACAATGCAGCAGCTCCCCTCCCACTTCCTCCCCATAGTTACCTCCTCCCAGTGTCCATCCCTTCATACTCTTCGAGAGGCCCATTGTCTGCCAACCCTGTATATGATCTTGGATACACTCTCCATTTAGACATACCTAATTGTTTAGCTTGTTCACCCATCTATCCGTCCCTATACCCATGTTTGCTTTCATTGACAACTCAGTATTGTATTTGCAAAGGGGTTCATATTTGTTGTTTGTACTGCCCATGTAACTCTCTCTGTCTTTCTCATCCTCAATGCTGCCATATTGGTCACTCACATTTGGTACATTGCCCTTCTCTTTACCCAAATCAATATTTATCTCTATCTATCTAACAGCATTCTCTCCCCTTCCCTCCCACCCCTGGTAACCAACAAAGAAAATGTCCTCCAATATATAAACCTTTCCTTAACTTTCACAATAACGGACTAATACAATATTTGTCCTTTTGTGACTGACTTATTTCGCTCAGCATAATGTCCTCCAAGTTCATCCACGTTAT